ACAGTGATTCACATGAGTCGGACTCTGAATATGAAGAAGTTTTAAATTTCTAGGACTAGATTAACCAATTTATTTAGCTATATTTTCCTTCTTGATGTATGCCTAAGAAGGATATTGTTGTTGTTGTTATGTGCTGTGGAGTCAGTTGCAACTCTTAGTGAGCTTGTACGGGGGTTTCCAAAGCTGTAAATCTTTTTGGGAGCAGAATGCCTCATCTTTCTCCCATGGAACAGATAGTAGTTTCAAACTGCTGACCCTGAGGTTAGCAGCCCGATTCGTAACCACTGTGGTTTTAAAACTTATCAAAAGTAAAGAGCCTCTTAATCATTGTAATGAAACAAAAATAAAGAGCTCTTTCAACAAATATTAACTCACAGTTTTTAGTGACAAGAAAGCAATGAATCATCATTTACAGGGTAGTTTTTCCCTAGGTACATGAAATAAAGAGTAAAGGCACCTTCCCAAAGAAAGTGTTAAGTAACCCTACTGACATCCATGGAGTAGAAGGAATCCGAGAGTGTCCTTGGGAGTCAGAAACCCGTGTGTAGTGACGATACAGCTCACGTACCTCATTCATCACTGCGTCTCAGCCATCTTCCCAAGGGCTTCACCAGGGCTCCTGAAACCTCCTTCAGAACCCACAGTGGAACAAGAAATCCTTCTCCATGTGGGGATCTGAAGAGAACCCAATTAGAAATGATGACAGTTGCTTACTGAGTCCCTACCATGTGCTGGTCCTTTGCTAGCCTCATAGGTGATTTCTAACCTTTGCAACAACCTTGAAAGAATTCCACTGAGGCAGCTACTGCCCTTTAGGGGAACATTTTACAAGTATATATTTAAAAAATTTAAACTTCTTTCCCTTTGAGATTGTAATTGATGTACATGAAGTTGTGAATTTTCATTAGGATGTTACTTATAATAGTAGAAAGTTGGATACAACTCACTGTAAATCTAGGAATATGGTTCAATAAATTACGACACATCCATATTTATTTAAATATTTGTTGTTATTGTTGTTGTTATGTGCCGTGGAGTCAGTTCCGACTCATAGCGACCCTGCATAGGGTTTCCGAGGCTGTAAATCCTTACGGGAGCAGAAACCCTCATCTTTTTCCCTTGGAACAGCTGGTAGTTTTGAACTGCTGAGCGTAAGATTAGCAGCCCAATTCGTAACCACTACGCTGTTGAAATGTTACACCGTCTTAGTAATAATCTCAAAGACTATAGTCTAATAAAGAAATGCTAATATAACCAGTGAGAAGCAAAAGAATGTATGTAATAAACATATATAACAATACATTTCTTATAGACAAAATACATGCATTTAAAAATGTGTCATTTTAAAGAAAAAAAAAAAAGTTTGTTGATGTGGTCCAGTGTCAAAAGGGAAGAATGCAAAACTAAGAGTAATTGTGTTAAGATGATGTTATCACAGGTGGCGGGGTTTTTTTTTTTTTTTTTTTCTTTCAAAAATTTCCCTTTGTAATAAGAAGGCAAAGAAAACAAGTCAGGAGCTGCAGTAACTGTTGAGGTATATTGAGAGTAGAGAGATTGTTGTTTAGAACGTACCTAGAATTACCCTTTATATATATACCATTGAGCTGTTAAGGAGAATCTGGGTTTCTTGTTCTTTTCTCTCCCTCCCCCACCACTTGGAATTTGTAATTAGCTTATTTGCCGAGCAATGTAACAACAGTAGATTCAGGGAAGTATTTGAGACGTTTTAAGCAAATGATGACAATGTAAAAAGTATTTGTCCAAGCTTGCATTCATACAAAACATAGAGCTACTATGCTTTCAGAATAAATATGTTTAAAATGTTTTCTAAATACAGTAATGTTTCTGCCCTAACAGTACTTGGCTAAGAAACTACATTTCTATGATAAGCCATAATTACTCTTTGGAAAATTATTGGGCTTTCAAAACTGTCTACCTACGGACGCCTGAAGAACAGATCCTACTTTGCTTAATCTGGCATCAGCAATCACTTTGTTGTTGTTAGTACTGTCCAGTCAGTTCCAACTCATAGCAACCCTGCATAGGGTTTCTGAGGAGTGGCTGGTGAGCTTGAACTGCCAACCTTGCAGTTCAAACTGACCTTGCAGTTTTCTAGCACATTAACCCACAGCATCACACCAGGACTCCAGCAGTCATTTTGATACAGCTCCTTTATTCTCTCTTTCAAGATAGCAGTGATTTTATTACAGGACAACAATGCCTCGATTCAAACCTACATATTTCAAATTCTACAAAGTATTTCTTTTTCTGATAAGAATCCTTAGTTAAGTTATACAAAGGGCTTTTCCTATAGATATTTATTCTCACCTTTTTTTCCTCACACTGGTTTCCGTGCCTTTTTCTGAATATTAACTCATTTTTCAGAAGTTCATGTCAGTTCTGAAATTCTAATTAAAACTCTGGGTCAGTGGTCAATTACATGATGGAATGAAGGAGCTGGAAAAGTGGACAAGACATGGTTAAATATTGTGGATTGGCGTTTGTCTCCCTTGCATGTGTTAGTCTGTGCTTCTGGACATATTTATTAGTGGCCGTTTTTCTGGAATTTTGCACTCTCCCTGCTTCCTTTCATTACATTAGGCCAGGTTCCACTAGATGAGACATTTGCAGTCTTAAGACTTCCTGCCAGGGTTCAGACTTTGTATTTTTGACATTGAAGCTGTCGTGTTCCTGAAGCTACTTAATTAGAAACACATTCATTTCAGTGTCTCCTAGAAAAAGCTTGGACAGCAGAGCCAGGCACACTGGGAAGTTCGAGCATTTGTGTAGCTGGCAGCTCAACTAATGGTTTACCGTTTAAGGGGAAAAAATATCGCAGGGCATTTTCTTACCCGTAGAAGCAAAGAGACGTTGAATGTGCACAGCAGATACCTTTATAAAAATAAAAATAAAAATAAAAAGGATGAAGAAGAAGAAAGAAAGGACAACTCCACTGCAGTTATATGTATAGTTGTTTCTGTGGCTATTATCAACTACAAAAGTCTTCTAGAAGAATAGTTCCCAAACTGTGCTGCTAATATTCAAGTCTGTTTTACAGGCTTCCAGGATATATCACTGCTGAGATCTGTAGCAAGGAGGACATTTTATATTCTAGGGAAGGATTTTTGCTTAAAGAATTGTATTTGTTGAGTGGTAATGAGGGAATTGCGCCTTTTCTTATTTTTAAATGTTTGAGCAACTTTAAAATGTAAATCGGATGTTTTAGAACCTTCATTGTCTATCCACTGCTCTCAGGATTAAGTTTCAATTCCTTAGTATTCAGTCGGAAGAAAGCCTGTTTTGCCTCATTTCTCACCATTCCTTGTTTTCCCAACCTTGTCCCCAAGAAAGCCATCCTCTACCTATTCCTTCCTTGTCCACTCCCCAGGCTACCCCGGAGGAAAGTACCTGTCACCCCACTTTGATCCAGGTACCTTCCACAGATGTATATCACATACTGGAGAGACATATGGAATGGAAAAGTTGCTACTCCCTTCCTCCCTACTCCCACATCTCCCTTCACTGTCCCCCAACAAAGGAAGACGTTGTGTAGGAGGTAGGGCTCGGGCTTTAGGTTTGGGATCATGAAATTGGAGTCCTGATATGGCACTGTAGGATCGACACTAGACCACAAGGTTGGTTTAAACCAAAAGGTCGGAGGTTCAAATTCACCAGCTACTCCTCGGAAACCCTGAACAGGGTTGCTGTGAATTAGAACTGACTGGATGACACTTAATGACATCAACAGTCATGAAGTCAGCATGGCACAGAGGAAGGAACAGTTATCTGGAGTCATTTTTGTTTGTTTGGCCTTAGACAAGTGATTTAACTTCTCAAGACCTGTTTCTTCCTCTTTAAAATGCGGATCATCATACCTACCTAGCCAAGTTGTCGAATAAATTGGAAAAGATGCATTTCAAGTTCCTTGTACAAAGGCAAGCACATTTATCATTGATAGGGAGCACTACAAATGAGAATTACAAACAAGCATGCCTTCTGCGTGTACATGAACACACACACATATGCCCATCCAAAATGCTCAAGATGTACCTGTCAAGTCTGGAACTGAACTCACTCACCCACATGACTCAACTTTCTGCCAATGACGGGCAGGCCTCGAAGGTGAACAATAACACAGAACAAATCAACCATACAGATCCAAAAGACAGCATTTGCCTGGGGATAAAGCTCAGAGAGGTAGCATGGGGATAGGCAGGAAAGACTAAGGGAAACGGTAAACACGTGGAGGATTGTAACCAATGTCACAAAATACAATGTGTGGATCATTGACTGGAAATTCAGTTTGCTCTGTAAATGTTTACCCAAACCACAATTTAAAAAAACAGCACCCAATTTTTAAAAACTTTGAAGTTGGGTTCTCGTTCTTTGCTCTGACACTAAGTTCGAATCCATGAAGTGATTAGAAGAGGATTTATGAACTGCAGTATCACTGGATAGCATGTGTGCAGTTGGGGAGGAGATATTTGTTGACAGCTCTCCAAGTACTTTATCCAACCAAAATGGACAATTAGAGCACATCTCTTGATGGCAGAAGGAAAAAGTAAATAAAAATCATTCTTCTTTAAGCCATGCTCTTGTGCTCTCCTTATTTATTGTCATCATAGCAATAATAGTTCTCATTTGTACTAGTCATGGATCTATATGTGCTTTCTCTTAATTCAGACAGCAGTCTTCCAGTTAGATGCCAGTGTTCCGTTCTGAAGATAAAACAACTGAGACTCTATAGTCGCCTACCTTGGTTGGTGCTCTTCCCCTTCCCATACCCGGGCTGCTTCCAATGCTGCTCACAGTTTGAAATTCTTCTGAAGTGCCTAGGCTTAGGAACAAAATGCCATTATTAGGAATTTTGTTGTGAAAGGAAATGTAACTGTGCATACGTTTTTTAAAGCAGTTTTTCTCCAAATAGTGAACCATCTGTAATTTTTCTGTTGGAAGCACCAAACATTAAAGCAGCTATGTGTCTCTGTTTCTCTTCACAGTGCTCCCATGCCCTACCTCATAGGAATCCATTTAAGTTTAATGGAGGTAAGTTGGCTTCTTTCCTCCTCAGGACTCTCTACTTGGGATTTTGTTTTGCTACACAACAATGAGAAAGACCCACTATCCGAAGTCACCACTCTTCACCTGGGAGCAAAACCTCCTGTTCATTCTCCTCCCAGAAACATAGAGCTGAGCAGTCATCTTAGACCCTTTCCACTGTGCTTGTTTTCAGTGATTTTCCATTTTGCTTGAATTTTCATGGGGAAGGGAATAAGGGTAGGAGGGAGGAGTTCTTCAAGGGTTTGAATGAGGTAAGGGAAATGATTCACTTGGTAAAATGGTGTTTATTCTAAGTCACTATAAAAATATTACATTTTAATTTGTATAAAATGTGATATTATAAAGTATATGGACATATAAAGAAGAAAATTAAAACTATCCACAGCACTACTATTCCAGGTTCAACTGCTGTTAGCATTTTTCTCTGCTTTCTCCTGCTATGAATATGTGGTTTTATATACTGCTGTTATAGATATGTAAATAATACATTTTATATGCATATGTAATACTTTTTTTGTCAGAATTTCACTTTAAGTAGCACAGGGGTTTCTGCATTTTTTTTGTTTTGTTTTGGTTTTTGTTTTTATAAATTCTCAGTAATTTTTAATGTGCTACCTGTCATTCCATCCATTTGGACCTATCACAGCTCCTATTGTTGTACAGTGAGTCATTTCTTACTTTTTCATTACTACAAGCAGCATGACAGTGAACATCTTTATGCATAAAGCTTCATCTGCATTTTGACAAATTTCCTTAGCATTGAACCCTTCAAGTTGAAGTGCTTGGTCAAAGCTATGGATACGATACTAGCTTGCTTTGTGCATGAACTGTACCAATTAGATAGCAATCATTTTAAAGGACTAATCTGTGATTTTGTAAGTACCGTTAGTTTGTCCCAAGTTAGACATGACCCCTAAGCCTTTCCTGCCTCTGGAGAGAGCTTACATTGGCACTAGAGCAGAGTGGGGAGGAAGATGGGTAGCTGCCTGTTTTGCAGAGGAGATAAGCTCTCAGAGGGAAAATCTAAAACCATGCCTGTCTGTGATGATGCTTTGCATGTCTTAAAGGAAGTGCTACTTCTCTTCTTCTGTTCCCTTCATTTCACGTCGACGAGGACCACCTGCTTCTTCACTATCTGTTGCTCACTGTGCTATTGTGCTTACGAAAATGAAACAAGTTGGTTATCGAAAAACCTGTTTGTTTGACATTGAGAATCTTGATCAAAATAGACCACAGAAATCTGCTCAAATTTCTAATTTGACAGGACGGCCATGTGGCTCCTACATTCTGTTAACAGTTCCTCCCTGTCATCACCCAGCCCTAAGCACATACAGTACACAGTTTATGGACTATCTTGGATGATGCATTTAGATCAGATTGAAGAGATTTCTTCTGTGTTTTACCTTTGTTTGTCAAGTTTAGGGTTGTAGTCAAAGCTACTGTATGAAAAATTAAAATTAAAAACGTGAATAAGTGCCAATTATTGCCGAGTTTGTTCTCTCCTGCCTCTCTTCCTGCCTTCCGGACTGCTCAGTGCAGTCTTTTATTTGGTGTCTCTGTCTCTTCAATATTCTCCAAGTTTCCAGTCTTGGCTTTCTTGTCTTCTCTGCATGCCCTCTAGTCATCTCATTTGAGGTTTTTGCTTAGCTACCAAGTCACTGTCAGTGACTCGGCTGTGATTCTAATGCTGGCCTGAATCTCTCTGAACTTCAGGTCCAGATTTTCATATGCCAATTGAATTTCACTCAGATGTACTCCAGATGTCTCAAACTCCATCTTTCCCAAACATAGAGCGCCCTCCCACAATCCTACCTCGGTGTTATGAATCCACGTGACTAGCACCACTGCCTGCAGAGGCACCAAAGTGGGACCCACTGAGCACAGCCGAGTGTTCCCTTCCTCTTTCTTTCTAAAAAATCACCAAGCTTCTGAAAGGTCTCTCATCATGTTCCTTCTTCACTGCCTTCATTGATACTTTTCTTTGCTCTCTTGGATTCTTATAAAGTTTTATTTATTCATTTGTTAAACAATACCAGGGCCTATTGTGTTCCATACATTTTGCTAAGTTCAAGAGATTTGCAGCTGATTAGAACATTCAGTCCATAGTCCCTACATATAGTGGGACACCTTCTTATCTGGTCCTCTCCTTTTAGTGACCTGCCTTCCACCCCCTTTACACGGCCCCCAAGTTCAGCAGTCTCTCCTTGGCTCCATGGCTATTAAACGTCATCCCTGTCCCTGTCCCTTCTTAGCCACTGTTCTCCTGACCCCTAAACATATCCACATCTCCCTACTTCTGCATGAATAAACCTTGCTCTTTTCCTCTCTTCCAAGAAGTCTCCAAGTTTGTGCTCTTCTTTCTCTTACTGTACTGCTTGCTATAGATGATACCTATTTGCTTCCCTGTCCCTCTACTTCATCTCTTGGAACATGAGCTCTTCGGGAACAAAAACTATGCTTCATTCACAGTGGTGCCCTCAGTACCTAGCAGGATGTCAAATAGGCAGTACCATCTGAGCGAAAAACATCTGAAAAGAAGGTTGACTGAGTATTTGGAATGCATTCATGGGCCTTCTAATAGACAACCCTGTTTCTAAGGAACCTGATGTTAAAATTTTACTTTAAGATGGGAGCAGTACTTTTTTTTTTTTTTTTTTACTTCTTTCAATATGATTCTAAGGAGCCTTGGTTATGCAACTGGTTATGTGCAAGGGTGATAACCAGAAGGTTGGCAATTTAAACCCATCCAGCTGCTCTACAGAAGGAAGACTTCAAAAAAAGATTGTTGTTGTTAAGTACCTTCAAGTCAGTTCTGACTACAAAGTTTTCAAGGCCAAGAAAATCTTACCATATAGGATGCTTCTGCCCTATCACCTGGGGTCACTATGAGTCGGTGACTAGTCAGAGCCTAACACCAACAATAATATGCTTCTAAAAAATATAATTTAAAACAAGGCCTCTTGTAGTAAAGCATGCAATACAAAGTATGCATACATTTTGAAGCTAAAACTGGAGACAAATTTTGGCCTTCAGTCAGAAGGCGCATTTGGAGGGGCCTTTAGGTGAGATTTGGGAAGCATTGTCCATGATAGAACTTAGCCCTGTTGAATGACTGAGGTTAGAGAGAGGTTTGCCATGCTGAATTCCAGTGTGTTGAACATTGAAGAAGGGAAAAAAAAAAAAAACATCAACCAGCCACCCTCTGTTGGAGCAGGCTAAGACACTCTCCAAACGAAGTGTTTCCTAGGTTTTGGGGGAGCTCAAGTCTCCTAATCGTCTCCCATGGATTTGAGCTCAGATTCAGTGTGCCCTGGTCATGCTTTCTGATGAGGTTTATTTCATTCCTTTGTGCCCTTCAGGTGAGAGAGCAGTTTCCCCTCCAGGAGCTGGCATGCTTGGGTCAGCGAACCTACTGGGCCAAAGGAAAGCTTTTTAAGGAAGGATCTCAGGAAGGTCCCTCTCCTCTTAAACACTCGTTTTCTTACTGGCAATTCAGCAAAAGGCTTATTTTTTACTGTCTTGTTATTTCTTCTTGAAAGCTATAGGCACCTTATTATGCCTTTGCATATGTGCCAGAATTTTTTAAACTTCAAATGAATGTGGCAGATGTTCATAAAAGTTTAGAAAAAGCTACCATAGGAAGACTTTTTAACCATTTTTATGACACTCAAATTTGTTACACAAAAGGAAATATAAATTATAGCCTTGTGTTCTCATTGGAAAAAGAAAAAAAAAAGGTTATTTGGGGGAAGGACCTAATTTCTAGTCTTTCTATTCATACAGGATGTTGTTGGTGTTCGTTCAGTGGTAACCTAGCCACCTTAAAGAGTTCACTTTTTTCCTAAAGTGAGAAGTTTGTAGCTGATTGTCATTTTTCTCTCTCCTTCTGCATTTTTAAATTCTTTTTCACTTAAACAAGCATTAATTTGAGGCTAGCACTATGTTAGCAGCATGGCCAAGAGTATTGGCATAGACCTCGTTTCTTCTTGGAGAGGATGATCATGTTAGCTGGCAGCTAGGAAATTGCAAACCATGGCCAGATCACACAGTGATTGTTGCCTTTTATTCAAGCCATCTCAATTTCGTTTACAAGATGTTTATATGCCCCCTGTTCTGTGCCATGTCTGGGAGCAAGTGCCAGGGCAGGCTGGTGCTTCTTCTATTTGATAAATGAAGACCTTCTCTATGCCCTATAAAGCAAGCTTTGTATACAGACCTGAGTAACACAAGGAATGTATCCAGAAGGTGTTTTATATCAGTTATTCCTGGTAGCAGGATGGACAGGAAGGAGGAAAGAAGAGGCAATGTCATGGCAGATCTAAAGAGAAACTCAGATTGTCTTGTAAATAAAGCTGTACCTATACACAGAGGCAGTGTAGTGTATAGAGGCTTGATTGTTGCGTCTGGTTTCTGACTCCCCTACTTCCTACTTAGGAGATCTCAGGCAAGCTAACAGACTTGAGCCTGTGTCTTCTCACCTGTAAAATGAAGATAATAGCCACATCCATCTCTTCCTTATAGGCTTATTAGGAGGATACATTGAGATAGTGCACATCCAATGCCTAGTACAGTGCCTGGCACAGAAAGAGCTCGGCAAATGCCAGTAATCATTATTACTGTGTTATTTCCTCAGTGGCCTTAAAACCGTTTTCATTATTAAGTCAATGGCTTTGAAATTGTGTCTCAGGAACCCTTATGTTCCAAGAATCATCCTCATTCCCTAGGGAAAGAGAATTTCAACACAACCGAGTTGTGCCCATCCCATTTTCTCCTGTTTAGCAATGCCGTAAGCACAGTCCCAGGCTTGAGAATGACCCTTCTATAGAATATGATGAATGCATTTTCAAATCCCAGCTTTACCACCTCTCTGCTCTGTTAACCTCAGGCAAGATACTTTGTCTCTCTTTATCTTCCTTTCTTCATTTTGAAGAGTGCTTAGTAGTACACATCTTTTAGGATTGGGATAAAGATTAAGTGAATGAGTC